GGCCGGGCGCGGCCGGGCCGGACGCGGAGGGACGGGTGGCCCGCCGGCCCCTCGGTGCTCAGTTCTCCCGGGCAGGCCTGTGCACTTACCTGCCAGGCTGCAGCGAGTGCCGAGACTCTCACCGCGGGCTCTGCCTCCGCCGTGGGCGGGAAATGCTGCTGCTCGATTGCAACCTGGAGGTGAGACTGGCCGCGCTGTGCTGCGGGCTTCGCGTCCAGATGTCCGTCTTCTCGGGAGCGAGGGAGGCAGTGGACTGACCGCTCGCCGGAGGTGGGAGGCTTTTGAAGCGGGGGGAGATTGTCAACCCAGAGCGTGCGATACTGGACAGAGGCGAGAGGGGCGTTGCACCTGTCTGTTCCCGCAGGTGGGGACTCTGCAGCACCTGCTGGAGACGGGGACCTCGGCGAACGCACCCTCGGACCCCTGCCAGCGGTCGCCTGTCCACTTGGCCTCTGGTGGCGGCCTTGCTTGCTTGCTTCTCTGGCAGCTGCAAACAGGCGCTGACCTCAACCCCCAGGTAACTAGGCAACTGATTGTTTCTGTGTGCAAGCCCCCCCGCCCCCCTAAATCCACACAAACATTTCTTAGACGCCGGAATAGTCAGCAATTTCGGTCGTTAGAAACGTGCCTGCTGCAGCGCTGACCGCAGAAATATAACACGAGACAGGTTTGTAATTTAAATTGTTCTAGTGCCCACATTAATGAAGGTGAACATGAAATTAATTTTGATTTAACCCAATTTATCCAAAATATCATTTCAACATGTAACCAGTATAAAAAATATTAAAGATATTTTACATCTTCTTTGCACACTAAATTTTCACAATCTGGCATGTATTTTACATTTATAATCCCCATTCAGACTAGCCACGGTTCAGGTGCTCGGAAGGCATGTGTGGTTGCTAGCTACCATGTTGGACAGCATAGGTCTAGAGAGTATTTCGAGTCGTTCCTGCATTACCAGATTAAGTTCCAGTGTAGCGGTTGAAACATTTGTGCCCGCCTACAGTCATTGTGGTGGTCTGCGTCTTCCATTGAAGAATAAAGCCTGGTGAATTTTAAATTGTAAATGTTTTTTTCACTTCTGTAGAGCTTTATTCTTAAATTTTAATATGTGTAGATGTGGCCACACAATGGTTTTATTAATTAAAACTCTATCTTAAATAGCACACTAAGGGAACTTTATCAAAAATAGAAAAAGTTTGATTTAAAAAAAATTCAGTCTGATTCAGTGCATTTCTAACTGGCTTCCTCAAGTAGCCACTATCAGACTTCACCCACTAACCTCCTGCGAGAAGGTGTTTTGGGGAGAGAAGAGACTCTCCAATGTGTTCTCTTATCCTTAAGGATATTCGTGGAGAAGCTCCACTACACAAGGCAGCCAAAGCTGGGAGCCTGAAGTGCCTGCTTGTGGCCAGTGATGCCCAGATTGAGCAAGTGGAAAACTGGTGGCTTCACCTTTTGTCTTCTTGTTTAGACTAATCGGACTCCTGAGGTTTAACTACACATGCTTTTAAAAATGGTGCTTACCTAGTTGATGGAACGTCATGGAAAAGTTAACTTAGGCCGATAAGGGTCTCTTGTAATACTTAGTGTAATTCCATTCATCTGTTATGGCAGTATTCCACTTCAGTTTTTGGTTTAGGAAAATTTATTCTATAGAACTTCTCACTGACTGCCTTTGGGTACTTATTCACTGTACTGGACACTGAATACTACTGCATTAATTAAAAAATGGAAAGCCCATTCTGTCCTGGACTCTGCTCACCACCGAGGATACAGAAGTGCAAAGTGAAATTTCTCTGTGCTTCCTTTACCTCTTTAATTCCACAACTGATGTTTGTATGAGCTCAAAACTCCTTTGTTGGGAAGATACAAAAAACACTAATCAATTATCAGTTTTACTTTGATTCAATTTGTCTTAATTTTAGTTTATGTAATAAGAATGGGCAAACAGCTGAAGACCTGGCGTGGTCATGTGGATTTCTGGAATGTGCCAGGATTCTTACAACAATTAAATGTATGGCGCCTCTAAGACCAAGTGCACCGCCCGGTCAGGGTCACTGTGTTCCTGTGCTCAGGCAGAAATGACATTTTGGGAATAGAGAAAATACAAATGGGAAAAGGACGCGTTAGTAATTTATACTGCTGCTTTCTTCCTTTCTCAAGGATCTCTTGTATGTTAGCATACAGTTTAATTTTCGTTTAAATATTAGCACTCTTCCTTCTACTGTATATTTTCATTCTCATTAAAATATTTTGATACTGGTTATAGTTACTACAACTAGATTCTAGAGACCAAAAGTTGTCCTTTATGGTAGAAGGTTGGAGAGAAAAGCTTTTTAAAAAGTTTTTAATGTTTAATACAGTCCCTTTGTGGTGCACGTGGGTAAGTGCTGGACTTCTAACAGAAAGTTTGGTGGTTTAAACTCACCTAGAGGTGCCTTGGAAGACAGGCTTGGTATCTGCTTCTGAAAGGTCACGGCCTGGAAAACCTATGAAGCGCTTCTACTCTGCACACATGGGGTCACCAAGGGTCAGAACCGAGGGCAGCCAACAGCAACAATGTGTAACATGTTTTCTAAAAACAGCTGTCATGTTGGTTGGGAAGAGATGTGAAGAAGGCCTTCACTTCATGGGCATCGGCTGCTCAGCTACAAGCGGTGGCTTTTGGCTCACAGCATGTGTCTGAGCCCCTAAGGAGGAGGAAAACCTTCCAAGCGAAGGTAACTTTTAAGGATACATGTATTTACATGCCTATATTCTGGTTGTACATGCTTTGTCTCTGAAGTTATTAAAGAAATGTCTAAAGAATATTCTTTTCTTTGTTAAGTATTTATAACCTTGGAAGAAAAATCATAGTTTAAACCATCAGTTACACCCAGAATAGAATCTGAAATTAAACTTGTTCTTTATTAACAAATGTACAGTATAACCTTACTATAGTCTTTGAGTCCAAGGTATTTTAAATGATCTGTGGTCGTTGAGGGAGACATAAATTATAGTAAGCGTCCTTGTTCCAGAAGTCTGGGCCCTTCCAGCCACACCAGCCCTAGAATTGGGAGAAGGGAAAAGAAAACCTTTATAAAGTTACAGGACTACATGATCCAAACAGTAACATGAGGTTCTGTCGGCAGACTCATGGGATAAAACTCAATGATTAGAAAATTCAAATACTTGCATTCCAGCTAAGCATAGAAAAATAACTAAGTGGGTCCATTTAAGAAAGGTTTTTTAAACTTTTAATTCTATAATATTTAGTTATAGAAATCATAAAAAAAGAAAAACTTCCTTATAATAACTGTTACTCCAGACTACCACACTGTATTCTAACATGTACAGTTTTCCCCCTCTGGCAGTGATGGCATGTCATGGTTTAGTTGGCAGCCTCCTCCTCCGTAGTCCGTAAAGAACGTTGTAGGGACCACTCAGTGGCATCTTAGACCTGATGGACCACGGCCGTGAGAAACAGCGTTCTATGCCCTTCCATGTCCTCAGGTTACAGCCAGTTCTACTTTCCATTCTTCCAGTCACTATTGATCCTTTTCCCCTAGCAGAGGAAATTACTTTCAAACAAAATCCCATTATGAATATGTAAATTTATCAAATTTCTTCTAGGATCACTGGTTTATTTTCTTACTTAAAGATCCAGCTGATTTTGTTACATATGTATCTACCACAATAAAAAAATAAAAGTAAATGGAAAAAAAAAAATCCAGCTGAAGTCTGGTGTGTATTGAGTATATCATGCTCAAATGAAATGCTTATTTGAAAAATACTTATGAGGGCAGCTGAGGACTCATCAAATACCGCTTAGTGAGTGATGCGCGGTGGTCGTGTCCCTTGCCCTGACCCGCGCGGTGGTCACGTCCCTTGCCCTGACCCGTCCCTTGCCCTGACCCGCGTGATGGTCACGTCCCTTACCCTGACCCGCGCGGTGGTCGCGTCCCTTACCCTAACCCGCGCGGTGGTCACGTCCCTTACCCTAACCCGCGCGGTGGTCGCGTCCCTTACCCTGACCCGCGTGGTGGTCGCGTCCCTCACCCTGACCCGCGCGGTGGTTGTGTCCCTCACCCTGACCTAAGGAGAGCTGCTGCGTGCCCCAGCAACGACCTAGAGTCACACATTCTGTCGAAGAAACCACCTAACGAGATGGGTAGCTCTCCTCCTTTGGGGCGGGGGGCTGAGTAGAGATGCTCTTTTTATTTGTTCATGTTTCCTTCTCTGATTTTAAAAGTAAGACATACTGTAAAAATTTAAACAAGATGAAAGTAAAAAAAAAGATCTCCACCAAACCTACTCCTCCTTCTCCCCCCCATGTAACCACCATGGAGTTTGGGTTACTGTCTTTTTGACCTGTTTCTGTACATAAATAACTTTCTATTTATTATGTAATATTTTTTCAGCAAAACTTTCTAATAAATGCAATGTCCTAAATCTCTTAACAAATAAATATAAAAAGGCTATACTACGGCTGTTTTAATTTTATTTTGATCCTTCCACACGTAGGCCTTCTTCAGGTAACCAGATCCCACATTTCTAAAAAGAAGCGGGTAGGAGGGTGCCTGTCCTGGAACAGCAGGAGTAGATGGGGAGCCAGGCTTCCTTCCCTTGAGGTGACTGGCCTGGAGCTTCAGGAGAGTTCCACAAGTGCGTGAAGAGAGGTCAGGCAGGGCAGAACCCTCTTTATGGCCCCCTAAATGCCTGCAGTCATGTTACAGTCAGTAGTTCTTGTGTTGACGGCCAGGCCTTGGTTCATGACTTCTGTACGTGCTAACAGAACAAGGGGTTTTTTGCATTTCCAGGGTGCTACAGGTATAACTGGGAAAGGAGAGTGCAGATCTCTGAGGAAGTGATTAGGGACAATGCTTGACTCTCTCGAATTGCTTCAGAAAACTCCATCATCTAGATAATTACATCTAGTGCAAAATCCCTAAGGAACTCCATTATCTGTATCACTCTCTTATTAAGTAGTGAAGGCTTCCCGATGCCTTCAAGATAAATTCTGAATGCCTCTGCTTCCCTGCCTGGCCCACAGTGACTACCTTTCTTGTGGCTGTCTGTCCCTCTAGCCACACCTCCTCACGTGCTCTAATCACGGTGAATCACCTGAAGTTCCCAGAACACGCCATGCTTGCCATTCACGCCTCTGCACGCGGTCCTCTCCTGGAGCAGCCCTCTCGTAGGTCCACCTGAGGTGACATCTTTTCCTTGGGAACCGTTTTTGGACTCTGCTCTGTCCCCCTCCACTAGACTGAGAGCCACTTAAAGACCTTTTACGGTGTGTCCAGTGTTCAGGACAGTGTCTGGCACATACTAGGTACTATAAGAAAGGTTGAATGAATGAACGGATACTTACCTTTTCCAAAATCACTTGCAGGTCTTCAGCGCCCGTATAATGTGGATCTAGAATCAGAAATTTTATCTGCCCTGTAATCTCATTCCATGCAACTCCTAATATTGTGTGGGCCAAAACGCCTCCCCCTGTACAAGACGAAATATCACATATAAGAAGTCATAAACTAATCTCCACGTCCTATTCAAATTAAATTTAAAGACTGATGATTTTTCCTTTCAAATGACCTACAGCAGCACTGACGCTGACCAGCCCACACTGTAAAGACCACAGATGATGTTTCGATAAGATACAATGACGTCTTTAACACAGAAAAGATGCATCTGTCGTCATAAATGCTTTGTATTCTGCCGCCATATTTATGGAATTCATAAAGTGGATTTAGAAAGGGCCACGGAGATCCAGCCTCCACCCAGCAGAGCAGCAGTCACTGCTGTTCGCCTCTCAGCACATGGTTCTGCTGCTTCTGTTCTGAGTACCACCAGTGATTCAGCCCTTCTGCTCAGTACGTTCCTGCTGAAATATGCCCACCTCCATTTCTTACAACTTCAGTCTTTTCTCCGTTTCTCATGTTGCTTATTGGTTCAGTTGTGAGAATTTTTGTTTTCTTTATGTTGAGGTGTAATCCATACTGAAGGCTGTGGTCTTTGATCTACATCAGTGCTTCAAGTCCTCTTCACTTCCAGCAAGCAAGGTTGTGTCATCTGCATAACGCAGGCTGTTAATGAGTCTTCCTCCAATCCTGATGCCCCGTTCTTCTTCATATAGTCCAGCTTCTCAGATTATTTGTTCAGCATACAGATTGAGTAAGTATGGTGAAAGGATACAACCCTGATGCACACCTTTCCTGACTTTAAACCACGCAGTATCCCCTTGTTCTATTTGAATGAGTGCCTCCTGGTCTAAGTAGAGGTTCCTCATGAGCACAATTAAGTGTTCTGGAATTCCCATTCTTCCCAATGTTATCCATAATTTGTTACGATCCACACAGTTGAATGCCTTTGCATAGTCAATAAAACACAGGTAAATATCTTTCTGGTATTCTCTGATTTCAGCCAAGATCCATTTGACATCAGTAATGATATCCCTCATTCAACGTCCTCTTCTGAACCCGGCTTGAATATCTAGCAGTTCCCCGTTGATGTACTGCTACAGCCACTTTTGACTATCTTCAGCAAAATTTTACTTGTGTGTGACATTAACAATATTGTTTGATAACTTCTTCATTCTGTTGGATCACCTTTCTTTGGAGTGGGTACAAATATGGATCTCTTCCAGTCAGTTGGCCAGGTAGCTGTCTTCCAGATTTCTTGGCATAGATGAGTGAGCACTTCCAGCAAAAATTATCACAGCTGGACCAATAAGCAACATCATGATAGATGGAGAAGAGATCGAAGTTGTAAAGGATTTCATTTTACTTGGATCCACAATCAATGCCCATGGAGGCAGCAGTCAAGAAATCAAATGACACATTGCATTGGGCAAATCTGCTGCAAAAGACTTCTTTAATGTGTTATAAAGCAAAGATGTCACTTTAAGGACTCGGGTGCGCCTGACCCAAGCCATGGTGTTTTCAGTCGCCTCATATGCATGCAACAGCTGGACAATGAATAAGGAAGACCAAAAAAGAATCAATGCCTTTGGATTATGGTGGTGGCAAAGAATATTGAATATATCACGGACTGCCAGATGAACAAATAAATCTGTCTTGGAAGAAGTACAGCCAGAATGCTCCTTAGAAGCAAGGATGGCAAGACTTCATCTCACACATATACTTTGGACATGTTATTTGGAGGGACCAGTCCCTGGAGAAGGACATCATGCTTGGTAAAGTAGAGGGTCAGCGAAAAAGAGGAAGACCCTCAGTGAGATGGACTGACACAGTGGCTGCAGTGATGGGCTCTAGCATAAGAAGCATTGTGAGGGTTGTGCAGGACCAGGCAGTGTTTTGTTCTGTTGTGAGTAGGGTTGCTGGGAGTTGAACTGACTTGACGGTACCTAACAACAACAACAGTTTCGTACAAACTTGTCTTAGCGTGCGTTCTGACCTCACAGGTAAGTCTTGTCTTCACAGAATCATGCATCTTTAAATCAGCTAATCCAGTCCTATTTTACAAGTAAAGCCCAGAGAGGTTAGCAGTTTGCACAAAGTTACACAGCTCGCCAAGTCAGTGACAGAGCCATGACTTAGGATGCCCGGTCGAGTGGACATCTCTTTTCCATAGTGCTCTCAGCTCCTCAGAAGTCTGAACACAGTTACCATTTCTCGTCTTAGCCTTCTTCTGGTTATCATAATCTTTTTTTGTACCTTCCTGCCACCTTGGAATTTTTTTTTTTAATGTCCAGAGATACATATGGTGTAAAAATTAATTTTAAAATGTTAAAAAAAGACTGATTTTATGTGAGATTAAATATTTATACTAATAATAAGCTTTACATTTTCCACTCTACCAGAAGAGCCACCATGTCCAAGACACCTTACCGATCATGATTGGAGTTCCTTCACTCTGGAAATGATTAGCCAGTTCCCGTCCTTTGGAAGCCATTTCAGAACCCTGGCTAGAAACAGTTCTGTATTAGATGAGTTACTTTCAATACCAAGGTCAAATAATAAGCTTGCAGGACAATGGGTTTTTTTTCTATTTTTCTTCAACTTTTTGCTTTCTTTTTTGGTTATTGAAAAAAAAGAACAATATAAACTTAATAATAAGCGACAGGGAACTGACTTAGCAATTGAAAGCAACATAACCTTTCTAAATATTTCTAAAGACATGATTTTCTGCTTCTGGTACTACAGAAAGAGGGTCCTGGATTTTTAACGTGAGATTGAAGCTAGTCAGGCTGGTGCCCAGGGACTTTTGTGGGTCTATTTAATTATCTGAAGAATGAGTTTTAAGTCCTGGGTTCTTGTCTCCCTGCTGTCAGACTTCTGAGTCTGAATTTTCTCATCTTTAAATTGGGACCAATAATACCTGCCCTGTCTACATGACAGAGGAGATTTCAGGACTAAAAGAGATAATGTCTGTGAAGCTAATATGAAAACTGCAAAATGTTATCAAGTGCAGCACATTGTTTTTAGGGAGTATTTCAATGTCCTATACAATTTCAGGAGACCCTGAGTGGTGCACATAATTAACACACTCTGCTGCTAAATGAAAGGTTGGAGGTTTGAGTCCATCCATAGGCACCTCGGAAGAAAGGCCTGGCAATCTCCTTTCGAAAAAATCAGCCATTGAAAACTTTACGGAGCACAGTTCTATTCTGACACACATGGGGTCGCCATGAGTCAGAATCACTCCTTGGCAACTGGTTTAATACAGTTGTAACTCTTGAGAAGGGAAAGGAAGATAGACAGATGAAGGGAGATATTTTTTGGAAGGCAAGTGCCAGATGGTGTTAATAGGGGACTCTTGCTTAATAAGGAATGTATAATGTTTTAATGTGCCAAAACTTTCAGTTTTTAATTGGCTTATGCTTCACTACTTAATCTATCATTTATTTGTTAGCACTGAGTTCCACAGCTAGTTCAAAGTCTGGCTGTAAAATCAGAAGTATTGATGTACTTGTACAATAGAATAATATTACTGAAGTTATTAAGGTTGTCATAATAGAAAATATATTCTAAACAACATAAATGAGTAAGCTAGTTATAGAAAAACAATATATTTAATTTCTATTTTCTAATATTTTAATATTAGAATTAAGATTAAAGTATATTAGAAAAAATAAATACATTTTTAGCACACGTTAGTGATTTATTAATGTCTTAGGAATAAAAGGAGCAAGAGCTAAACAGAAACATCAGTCACAGATCAACATTTGATTTTTCTGCTTTCAAGACTTTTTTAATGACTTGAGCATAAAAAAAAACCTGACTTTCTATAATTCCACTCAAAGTTAATATGTTCCAAATTTTCCTTCTCCTAGCTAAAATTAAGCCTAGATGATACAAGTATATATATCACAAAGTTTATTCCTAAACTAAAAAAATCTTCTAAAAAATAACCAAAAGAATTCAGGGTTACAAAAAATGAGATTATAAAGCAACGAGGAGGGAAAGAGGTAACACAAATGAAGGAAAAACATAATTTCTCTATTATTTAAATAAAAATTACAAACTTCACTTTGCAATGCTTTACCTAATTCTTAAAGTGTCCTTACCTGACAAACAGTATTTTTGAAGTTACACCAATCAGCTGGTTCAGTACCAGCTGCACCTCAATAGATCCGATCCATTGCCGCGATCCAACAAACGTCGCTGGTTTGTCACGGGCATCAACCAGAGCCTTTACGTATTTAAAAACATAAAAAAGTCCATACACAACACAGCTCTTAAAAATTACACTTAGGGCATTTCCCTGATTATCAGTGTAAGAATACTTTTTTCCTTCCAAACAAATAAGTCTGCACCATGAGTTAATAATAATGAATGCTGTATTAAGGGCTAATTAAGGGCTAATGAAAGGTACACTTGATTATAACGTAAAATGGAGTGTTCTGTACCTGCTGAATTTCCCTGTGTGTTGGGATGGATCTCTCAGTGTATCCCTGATGTCTGAACCAAGAGCAGATCGTCTGCAGAGATCGGTAAGCGCAGCCCCAGCCGTTGTCATCTATCCGATCCTGCATATAGTGATGATAACTGTATATGCCCTGGACCATGTAAGTCTATATATAAAAGAAGAAATGTAGTAAAATATCAAGACAGATGAAAATACTCTGTACATGCCTGAGCCATGCTTCCTGTTCTCAGTGCAGTGACTTCACAGAACCATGGTTTAACCTTGTACCTTCTTGGCTCTTTATTAAAGGTCCAGAGCCCTCACCTGGCAAGACCTGTCTCCTGGCTGCCTCTCCTGACTTCATCTCCTACGGATCTTCCCTGTTGCTCACTCTGCTTTAGGTTCAAACATGCCAGGGGCATCTGCTCTCTCTGCCTGGAACACCCTTTTTCCACATGATGTTACGGCTTCCACCTTTATTTCCCTCAGGTCTCTGGTCAGATGTTAGAGGCCTTCCCTGACGTTCCAGTCTGAAAATGGCATGGGTACCCACTCCCCACCCACTGCTGCCCTGGCCATCACTCTCTGTCCTGCTTTATTTATCATTTTTCAAAGCCCTTATCACTATTTGACACGTTACTTGTTATTTTTAAAAAAGCTGCCTACCAACAACAGTACATGAGCTCCAAGAGGGCATGCACTGTGTCTTACTCATTTCTGGGCCTAAGCTTCTGCAACAGGGCCCAGCACACAGGTGATACTGCATAAGTGTTCGCTGAATGATGGATGAATGAATGAAGAAGGGAATAAAGGAATGAGCAAACAAATAAATTCAGGGTCTATACAACAGGACAAGGCCTGGTGATCTACTTCCACGAATCAGCCAATGCAAACAGTCTGATTCGCAACCCGTGATAGGGAGGGTGCAGAGCCGGCAGTATCTCACTGCGCTGTGCATGGGGCCACCACGAGTCGGGGGCTAACGACAACATACAGTGGGGTATGTGAAGAATGCTCCTGTGATTCTGTAAACCTGCCGTTAATTACAGCCCAGGTATGTCACTTAATGACCTTGAAAAAGGCCAATATCATGTAAATTCTTAATTGTAATATGTTAAGAAAGCGTCTTTTTTTTTTTTTTTTTTTTTTTACAAAGTGGTATTACCATTATTTTTCTTAATTAGGTAAGAAGAGTCACGGACAAATACAGAACCTTTACCCAACAATTAGAGAATATATGTTCTTTTCAAGCACAGACAGAAAATTTACAACGAGACCATTCTGGTAGGCTGAAAATGGCCCCAGAAGATATCTGTGTCTTAAATCTTGCAAGCTGTCAGTGGTACCCTATTTGCAGATGTGATGAAGTTGATGATTTTCAAATCGGGAGATTACCTTGGACTACCAAGGAAGGCCCTAAATGCAATCCCATGTATCCTGATAAGAGAGGTAGAGGCAGATGTGACACAGTGAGGGCAGTCATTGCGACTGCGGGGGCAGGGATTAGAGTGATTCGGCCACGACCAAGGGATGTCACGATAAGATGGCCGGTCACATTGTCTCTCTCGGGAATCTGAATGAGGTGCAGAGTACGCCAGGCAGAAGGAATAGGAAGTGATGTTGAAATGATGCATACAATGAAAAGGTATGGGGAAGGGTAGGAAAAAGTTATACAGAAGCTGAAAGAATGAGGAAACAGAAGGCACGAGACTGAGAAAAGCCAGAGAGAGTAAGGGGAAGGAACAGGCCAATGAGGACCAAAAACATTTATATATAGAAAAAAGCAGAAATGCCACCCCGGAGTCCAAGCTGCCCCTGAGGGAGAGAGAGACAGCTGCCAGACCAAGGGCTGCGTTGGCTTTCATGAGGCCTGGCTCCACCAGCGCTCCTAGATGTTCATAGATGTTCCTCATCTATGCCTATGGGATACTTTCTTTCCTACCAGCCTACATGTATCCTCAAAATAACCTTGCCCTCACCCTCCACTGATCCACTCTTACATTTTAGGAATTACATACATTATGAATTAATCCTGAAAACTTCCACTGAGTACCAATAAAAAACAATTAATGGCATTAATGAACAGCTGATTCCCATTAGTCATTCGTTAAACTCACCATACCAGACTCTATGTTGGGTGGATTAAGAAAAGTATGTGGATTTCTAATGTAACCATCTCTGTGTGGTTCATCTGGAAAGTGATAAGCATTAGACCTTTTGAAATAAGGTCTGTCATGAGGCAGATTGAAGAGCTCGTGTAACTCCTAAAATGAAATCAGAATCAATAGGAAAGAAGAGAAACAAGTTAATGTATTAGATTCCTAGCCAATAAATAAACTCAGAGAAAATATGAAACACAGAAAATTAACTATATATTGGTTATAACAGTTTTCAACACATTTGTGATTTAATTCACTAAGGTCAAAGAGGGTGAGATTAAAACCAAACAAGATTTATTTTTGCTTATCTATGTACATGAATAGAAACTAGAAGGGAACACAGAAAAATGGAAATAATTTGTTAGAGACAACTGGGATAATTTAAAGTTATTTATTCTAAGAGTCTGTCAAACCACATCCAGATGAAAGACTGATTTTGAAACAGCCTTGCAGATGAGTAAATTATAAGTAACAATGATATAATTATATCAAAGTACTTTGAAAAATCATTTTTAGATTGCTTTACAAATCTAAGGGATAGTGATTAAATTACAAAGTAGAAGTTACTGGTAGAAAACCAGCCACTATGGCATGAAAATAAAAATACACATACATGTTTAAAATGTGGTATTTTCCCAACTGTATAAAAACATGTTACTTTAAAGTCTGGCAGTTTCTTTGTTATATCTCCTATGTACTCTAGTGGTTTGAATAGCTTCATCAACTCATGTCGCTATTGCCTCTGCAGATCAACTCATGTAGCACTTACAAAGAGGCACAGAGGATTAGAATACCATATTTTTACGCAAATAATGCATACCTTCTACATTTGTTTGCTATCAGGTCTTCCCCCCGTGAGGTAGTTCTGTAAATGCGCTATGCTTATTTTTTTTACAGCAACATGTAAAAAAAATTGGCATAGCAGGGCTTACGAAAATACTTCATAGTGGGAGGAAGTGCCTGGCAAACAAATGTAGAAGATGCACATTATTTGTGTAAAAATACAGTATTATACCTCTTCTTAGGGAGAGAAATTAGAAAGATGCCCCATTGTATAATTTGATGGGTGCCAGGCAAGGCCACATATCAAAAAGATATATCCCCAAACTAGTCATTTTCTTTCAATGCTGACCATACTTTCTCTAAAATTCCTCTAATAAAACCCAGAAATTTAATCAGAATTACTATAAATTCTAATCTTCCTTCCCTAACTGTAATCTTGTCTCTTTTACAAGTGGGGAAGTAAAAGAAGGGAGGAAAAAAAAAATCTGTTGCCGTTGAGTTGCTTCTGACTCATAGAGACCCCATAGGGCAAAGCAGAACTGCCCCACAGGGTTTCCAAGGAGCAGCTGTGTGTTAACACTCATCAGTTGCTCTAGCCATGTAAGCATCTTCTCATTTATATGTATCAGGAGATTCTCATTTACATGTTTCTTAAGGAAAATATAGAATTTCAAAGAACACATGAACTACATTGCGTATGTAGAATTAAAATGTAACGTGGGTTTAGCATAATATTTTTAAAATTAATGATACATAAAAAAATCCCATGAGAAGAAATAATCTAATATGTAAAACTGATAGTCTGCTTCCATACTTTTTACCTTAAAATAACCTCGATTTATTAGAAATGTGTAATTAAATAGAAAATGAACAATGGTCACTGTCCTTTTTATCCATTTTTCAATAAATGAACTGGTTTTACCTTTCTGTAGGCCTGCAGCTGACCATCTGGAATTCCTGATGGATATGAAATTGTTACGAGACTTTTTTCCCCTGGTAATAGAAAGTGCAGTGGTTCAGGTACCACAATAGAGGTTCCTTTCATATATTTCAAAATGCATTTTTCCATATTAGTTAGTTGACTATGGACTGCATCCACTAGAAGTTTACGAACTCTGTGAGGGGAAGAACACAAGCACATTAACAGGAGTTACAGTGGCTGTGATCAATGAAAGTGTCCAGCTAAGACATCCCTAGTATAGGAAAAAAACAACGTGATTGGACCAGTTTGTTAAAGGAAGTCTGAGTTATGCATTTATTTACTCTCTGTGAATAAAGGGAAAACCTTATAGGTTTTAGCATGCTACCCTACTTCCTGCAAATGAACACTTACTTACTCGATGGTTTTCAGTGTAATAATTAACAAGAAGATAATCATAGTAAAAACTACAACAGCAACAGCCTCAGATGTCTCTGTGATATTTAAAAATAGTCTGTGATTATTTTGGGGAAGGGTCCTCATTTAAATGTGGCAATAATATTACAAAATACTTACTTTCCCCATGGTTCTTCCGGAGCAACAGCTAAAACTGTATCAACTGGTAAAGTCATATTAACGTAGTGATGTTCTCCGCTTTCTCTCTCAATGATGGGGGTTACAGCGCTCAGAGGGGTTGACATTTCCAGCATAAGATCTATATTTACTATCTGATGCTGTAGAGATAAACAGTAATAGTCATCTTGTAGTACACTGTACATTAAATATAAAGGGTAGATGTAAAGGAACTTTTAAGGGCAATATAAAATCTGTACTATAGTAAATTGTTTAAAAGCACAAATCTTATTTTAAAAATTCTCTCTGCTTCAAAATAATCTTTTGACATGGCTAGGTTCCAAAGACCAAGTTGTTATGCAGAAATCGGTGTTATGTGAAAATGGAGGATGACCACATCAGATTACAAAATGGAGATGACTACATCATTACATAACTGCCAGATTACACGTTACATAACTGCCAAACCACTGAGAATCCTGGCCCAGCCAAGCTGACACATCACCTTAACCCTCACAGCCAGCGGTACTCTCGCCTCACACCGCGGCATTTGTTACTGCCAGACGTACGTCGTTAATGCGCAAAATAGTCGCATGGTAGATTTTCTACTATTGTCATAAACGAAATGTTGGATACTGAGATAGCTGATAAGTGAGGAGTAGCTGTACTGGAATCCAGCAAAAATTATCAATGGATGCTAAAACTAGTGGGTAAGAACTTGATGAGGAATAAGATATATACATAGTCTCAAAGTATGTTCCCACAAGACACTCACTAATTATAAGGGAAAAAATGGTACCTTTAGTGTAAAGAAAACCTGTGGATAGCACCTTAACTATGTGATTAAAGTTAACTTCGCCAACAGAAGAACAAACGGACAGCATTTGCCTCTTAGTATGTTGTGCGGAGAAGGAGACAACACCACTTCTGTGGTATTCCTGCCAAAAACGCCTGACTTGAATCTAATCATGAGGGAACATAAACCCAAATTGAGAGACATTCTACAAAATAACTGGCCTATCTTCCAAAAATGTCAGACTTCAACTACTATAATTTTCCAATCATCATTAGCCCAGAATGTTTCCATATATTCCACACTTGCAAATTTAAAACTCATCTGGACATCTTACTGGTGTCTCAAATGTAACATGTCCCAAGGTGATCTCACATCTCCCCAACCTTCTCTCTCTGCTCAAGCAAGAAACTGTCATCCCATATCTGACTGGTGCATTCCCTTGACATCTCTTATATCTACTCCCTTTATTCTTAGAGCTATTGGTTAGCTTAGGCCTTTCATGAAATGACCTCTGCCCACCTCTCCAACCTCATCTCCACCCATTCTCTCCACCAGCCTGGACAAAACCATATAGTCGTATTAACCTCATACAACTTCCTGCCTTGAGGAAGTATGTCTATTTTGTATCTCCAGCATCTAGCCAAGTTCTTGGCACATGGCAGGTACTCAGTAATACCGGTTCAAAAATCAGCAGAACCAAGAATAGTGTGAAGACACAGTCACTATTATCTTACACAACACAATGCGTTACTTTGTTATATTTCAGAATGATTTCTTTTTATTTCTATTTATTTCTAAATAAAATTCACTAAGTAAATTGTCAAAAAGAAAAAAGTTTTATTTTTGTGGGAGCCAAGAAAGCTTCCAAAATTTTCAAGATACATTATATATATATATAAACAAAACTTTAAATATATAAAACAAAGATATAACCTTTGGCAAGTCATTTAATCTTTCTGGACCTCAGTTTTCTGATCAGTAAAAACCAGAGGGTTAGTTTAAATAATCTCTAAGAAGTCACTCAGCTCCAAATTCAGGGATTTAAAATTTTTATCAATAGAGACATAGGCCATCGGCTTACCATGTCTGGTAACTTTTTTTCTTTCTTTCTCATGAATTTTCGTTGTGTATCTTCTTCCTGTTCAAATCTAAATTTTTAATATACAAAAAGGTTTAGACTGTGAAATGATGTTTTGAAAACATTTCCAACAATCTTTAAACATACTCACTGAATAAAGCGCATTATGTTCTTACAAGCAGAACTGTCAGTCAGTTCTCCAGGAATGGTGTTCATGTCACTGTTAGGCCATACATACACCGAACTACGGCAGATTCTGAACACAAGTGCGTTTGAAGACAGCTTGGCTGACAGGTCCCTCAACACATGTTTTAGTGCTTTCTTCACAAAAATTTCTAAATTAAAAGAACATAAATAGAAATTGATGAGAAAAACTTTGAACTCTTCAACATGAAAGCTTTTTAAGCATACACAGAGTAGAAAATAGTGACAATGACTTCTAAATATCCATTCCCCAGATTGAATACTTACCAAATTTTTTGCCTTTTTATCTTTTAAAAAACTGAAATGTAATTCACAGACCATAAAACTCATACTTTTAAAGGGTACAGTTCAGTGGTTTTCAGTATATTCACAAAGTTGCACAACCATCACCACTATCTAGTTCCAGAACATTTTCGTCATCCTCGAAAGAAACCTCATACCCATTAGCAACCACTTTCTAACCCTACTCCTCCAGCCACTGGCAACCACTGATCTCCTTTCTGTCTCTCTGGATCTGCCTATTCTGGACATTTCATACAAACGAAATCAGACAATATGTGACCTTTTGTGTCTGGCTTCTTTCACTCATGTATTCAAGGTTCATTCGTGTTGCGGCATGAATACATCATTCCTTTTTATGGCTGAATAATATTCCACTGTATGGCTGTAACACATTCTGCGTATCCATTTATCAGTTGATGCACATTTGGGTTGTTTCCCTTTTTGACTATAGTGAGTAATGCTGCCATAAACATTTGTGTACAAGTTTTTGAGTGGACATATGTTTTCAATTTTCTTGGGTATATACCTAAGAGTAGAATTTCTATGGTAACTGTTTAACTCTTTGAGGGACTACCAAACTTTTTCAAAGCAGGTACACCATTTTACATGGCCACTGGTATTCTATGAGGACTCCGATTACTTTCAAAATACCTGTTAACTTCTAGCAATAAAACTACCGAAATTTAAATTTCTCTGTAGTTCTTTTTCTCCTAGGAATATATCTAACTAAACTGTACAATCAAAATTCTGTATTCTAAGGTCACAGTGTTTTTTTTTTCTCTGTGGGGCTGTGCCATCAACCTGATAAACGAATCTGCTTTAGTTTGGTTTCATTTTCAGGGCTCTCTTTTTAATTGAATAGAATTTTTTGAATATGCAAAACATTTTCATCATTCCAAAATAAAAATTATATCACAAAATATATTCAGAGAAGAATAAGATAGTATTTAAATACTTTCCCTAGCCTTATAATCTTAAATATTAAAAACCTATTTAATCCTATAGTTAAAACATTTAACTATCACCTTGATATCTTAATAGATAAATCCCTTGGGGCTGTGGGATTATGGCAGAGAAAGATTACTTGTAACAAATCAGATTTTAAAACATCTTGACACATTTCAGAAAGCAGAATTTAATAATTTTCAGTTGCATCACAAAAGACAAACATGACACCTTGGATTAACCCATTCTCATCGAGTCGATTCCGACTCATAGTGACCCTACAGGACAAAGTAGAACTGCCCCACAGGGTTTCCAAGGAGTGCCTGGTGGATTCTAACTGCTGACCTTTTGGTTAGCAGCCAAGCTCTTAACCACTGTGCCACCAGGGCTCTGAAGTTATGGTAATCATTGTAATACCAAAAAACCCAAAATCCATTGCCATTGCCACTGCCCTCATAGGGTTCCCAAGGCTGTAAATCTTTACAGAAGCAGACTACCACGTCTTTCTTCCATGGTGCGGCTGGTGGGTTCAAACAGCCAACCTTTCGGTTAGCCCCCAAGTGCTGTAACCACTGTGCCACCAGGGCTCCACTCGTTGTAACGTAACATAATAGTTAAGACAGTGGGCTCTGAAGACTCATGGTTGTCATGTACATGTGAAAGTCAATGTACAAGTCTGGGTGCATCATTTACATTGTGCTCATTATGAATATTTATATTTACTGTGACAGTTTCTGGGAGAGGGCTGTAAAAGGTTTTTTAAGGAAGGCAGAATTTTTCTAATTTGCAAAGAGGTAACCTATGGGCTAGTGGTGCTGCTGGACACAGTTTCTAAGTTAAAATTCCACTTATACCACTTACTAGCTATATGATCTTAGACAGTTTATTCAATCTCTCTCTTAGTTTCATTTGCAAAGTGGAGATAATCTCGGTATATTTCATTATCAATTTCTAATCAAAAAAGAGAGTTTTTTAGCAGACTTACCATCAGGAGTAGCTAGCTGAAAAGCTAGATCAAGGCCTCCTCTTATTCTGAACAGTATACCCATAGTCTCTGAATTCACCTAGGACAAATAAAACCAAAATTCCACTGTAAAACAAAGAAAACTCACCCTCACAGAAATGAAAACCTAATTAAGTTTATGTTAACAGCATTAATTAAGCTTGACTTTTCAAATAATTTTATAAATTAATTTCTTATTTTATGGAAAAAACAGAATGAAAAACCTCTAAATTCTAAATTAGGGGTTCTCAACCTTCATTCCATATTGAAATCACTAGAGGAGCTTAAAACACTGATACCTGAGCTGCACACCCAACAATTGGTCTGGGTGGGCTAGGCGAGGATATTTTTCTTTTTTTTATATTTTATTGTACTTCAGGTGAAGGCTTACAGAGCAAATAGTTTCTCATGAAACAGTAGTACACGTTGTTTTATGACATTGGTTAACAACCCCACAACATATTAACCCTCTAACTTCTCAACCTTTTTTTTTTGGTGAAAATACACATAGCCAAAGATACACCGTTTCAAAAATTTCTACATGCACAGTTCAGTGACATTGACTACGTGCTTCCAATTGTGCTGTTATTCTCACTTAAGATGAAGGCTTACAGAACAAAATAGTTTCTCATTTAACAGTTACTACAAATCTTGCCCCATGACAATGGTTAACAATCTCACAACACCTCAACAATATCCTTACTCAACCTTGGGTTCCCTATCACCAGCTTCCTTGTCCCCTTCTGCCTTCTGGCCCTTGTCACTGGACTCCTGTACCTCGTTAGTCTCATTTGGTTTTACGGGGCTATCCACTCCCAGGCTGAACAGTGAACCTCAGAGGTAGCTTCACCACTGAGGTAAAAGGGTGTCTGGGGGCCATACTCTTGAGGTTTCTCCAGTCTCCTTTAGGCCAGTAAATCTGGTCCTTTTTTTGTGAGTTAGAATTATGCTCTACATCGTTCTCCAGCTCTGTCCAGAACCCTCTGCTGTGATCCTGGTCAGAGCAGTCACTGGTGGTAGCCGGGCACCATCTAGCTGTACTGGACTCAGTCCGGTGGAGGCCTCGGTAGCTGTGGACAATTAGTCCTTTGGACTCATCTTTTCCTTGTATCCTGTTCTCTTCATTCTCCCTTGCTCCCGAAGGGATGAGACCAGTGGAGTATCTTAGATGGCCACTCACAAGCTTTTAAGACCCCAGACACTACTCACCAAGGTAGAATGTAGAGCATTGTCTTTAAAAGCTGTGTCATGCCAATTGAGCTAGATGTTCCCCGAGACCATGGTCCCCAGAGCCCTCCGCCCAGCAATTCAGTCCCTCAGGGAGTTTGGATGTGTCTATGGGGCTTCCATGACCTTTCCTTAGGCAAGGATATTTTAAAAGTCCCCACACTCCATTGATTCTAATGTGAAAAAGCACAGAACCACTGCTTTAAGCCAATAATTTCTATACTATAGTCTTAACAATGGGTTTAACAATGACAGGAAAACATCAATGGTAAAAAACTAATTTAATACAAAAATAGCACCGGATCTAATAGGATAACACCTAGTATTCAATACCAATAAGCAACACCATGATAAATGGAGAAAAGATTGAAGTTGCCAAGGACTTCATTTTACTTGGACCCACAATCAACACCCATGGAAGCAGCAGTCAGGAAACCAAACGATGCACTGCATTAGAGAAATCTGCTGTAAGAGACCTCTTTAAAGTGTTAAAAAGCAAAGACGTAGCCTTGAAGACTAAGGTGCACTTGACCCAAGCCATGGTGTTTTCAATTGCCTAATATACATGTGAAAGCTGGACAATGAATAAGGAAGACTGAAGAATTGATGCCTTTGGATTATGGTGTTGGCAAAGAATACTGAATATACCATGGACTGCCAAAAGAGTGAACAAATCTGTCTTGGAAGAAGTATAGCCAGAATGCTCCTTAGAAGCAAGGGTGGCGAGACTCTGTCTCACATACTTCGGACATGTTATCAGGAGGGATCAGTCCCTGGAGAAGGACATCATGCTTGGTAAAGTAGGGGGTCAGCCCCTCAATGAGACGGTTTGACACAGTGGCTGCAACAATGGGCTCAAACATAGCAACGATTGTGAGGATGGTGCAGGACTGGAGAGTGTTTCGTTCTGTTGTACATAGGGTCGCTATGAGTCGGAACCGACTTGATGGCACCTAACAACAAAGTGTTTAAGACAATGAAAGGAAACTACTACACCACTGAAGGTGGGGTATAAACTACTAGAACTTTTCATAGGGAAATGTGACAATAAGAATCAAAGCCTTATATTCACATGCTTTGGCCTAGTAATTCTGCATTTAGAAATTTAGTCTAAGGAAGTCTGCGAAACACACGAAGATTCAGTATATGGATGCTAACCTAAATGTCAGCAACAGATTGGTTGAATAATTATATGATACAGCCATGAAAAATCATGTTTCAAAAGAATATTTACTATAGTTTACGCAAATAATGTGCACCTCCTATGTAGAAGGTGTGCATTATTTGTGTAAAAATATGGTAATGGCACAGCAAAATGCTTGCAACTTAAAAGGGAAGAAAGCACTTGCAAAATGGTATTTACCAGTAGTTCTTAAGCTGGGTCCACATGGTGAGTTTCACGTCATCAGTGACATACGACAGATGACATGTAACATTGTTTGCGTGTGTGTGTGTAAACTTTTTCTGGGAAGAGGTTTTAAAGATTTCATCAGATCTTTTAGCTAAATGACAGACTGGGTCATAAAATAAACAATATCCGCCGTGAGTACTGTGGTCCTTTAAAAAATCTTCCATCTGAGACCAAATGGTCAACATTTCCTCAAAAGCAAAGATGAGAAGGCAAGGAAGCAGGGAAACTACATTACTGGAAACGGAACAACTAGATCGGAAATAATGAAAGTTGACAAACTGAAAAATGTAACCAATGTCACTGAACAAATTGTGTAGAAATTGTTAAACAGGAACCTAATTTGCTCTGTAAACTTTCACCAAAAACACAATATTTTAATTAAAAAAGATTTCATCAGACCCTCAAAAGGGTTGTTATGGATTGAACTGTGTCCCCCCAAAAGATGTAACCCTTAATCCCTGGTATCTGTGAACATGACCTTATTCTACGATGTCATCAGTTAACATGAGGTCATACCAGAGTACAGCGGGTCCTATTCCCATCCGGGTGTGTTCTTAGGAGAACAGACACAGCAGCACAGCGAAGGTGGCCACGTGAAGAGGAACCTACATGTCAAGGAATGCCAAGAAACACCTGGGGTACCACCAGCTGGAAGAGACATGGAAGGATCTAGTACGGACAGAAAGCATGGCACTCTCATGTCATGGACTCCTAGCCTCCAGAATTATGAGACAATACATTTTTATTATTTAAAGTCACCCATTTTGTGGTATTTTGTTATGCCAGCCTTAGGAAACCAACACAGAGTTGGGCACCAGGAGTAGAGTGCTGCTGTACCAAACACCTGAGACTGTGGAAGTGGCTTTGGATTGGGTAATGGGTACAGGGTGGAAGACTTTTGAGGTACCTGATAGTAAAAGCCTAGACTGCCTTCAGTTGGTCGATTATGGTTGGTAGAATTACAGACATTAAAGGTGATTCTGGTGAGGGCTCAGAAGTGAGGGGAGCTAGAGAGAAAACTTCTATTGTCAGGAACAGAATATTGCCAGAAATGTGGACATTAAAGGTGCTTCTGGTAAGGCCTTAAAGGGAAATGTTGAACACGTTACTAGACAATGGTGGAAGGCAATCCTTATTATAAGGTGGCAAAAAAATTAGCTGACATGTTAGAATATTTTGTGGAAAGTAGAATTTGTAAGTGATGAACTTGAATATTTAGCTGAGGATATTTCTAGGCAGAATGTGCAAGGTGCAGCCTGGTTACTCCTTGCTGCTTATAGTAAGATGTGAGAGGAAAGAGATAAATGAACTAGGCAAAAAGGAACCAGAACTTGAAGATTTGGAAAATTCTTAGCCTATCCATATTGTAAAAATTGAGAAAGCATACTCTAGAGAGGACACCTAGGGTATGGCTGGACAACCGTTTGCTAAAGGTATTAGGCATATGACTTAGGGATCGAATCAGCCATCTCAGCAGAAATGCTGCCGGGCTAGACTAAGGGGACAGAGATGGGATGAAATGAAGTTGACTGTCGGACTACTGGGATTCCACAGGCAGGAAATGGGCTGATGGAGCTGCTCGGCTGCAAACACCTGCTGTCCTTCAAGAAAAGGAAAGGATAATCTCAAGAGCTTTTCAGAGGCTGGCAGGGCTGGCAGCTTGGGTCCAGTGGGTAGAGCTCCTTGGTGAGGACAAGGGGTGGAGCTGCCACCCAAGGAAGAGGCACTGGGGCCACAGCCCCTGTGGGCCAGGAGACTTGGACCTCCATCAGCCCAGGGTTGAGAGGGTAGGGACACCACCCAGGCGAGCCCAAAGGACAGGGATTATTTTCAAGCCTTGAAATCTAATGGAATTTTCCCTGCTAGGTTTTATACTTGCTTTGGACCCGTGATCCCTTCTTTCCCTCCAATTTCTCCCTTTTGGACTGAGAATATCTATGCTATGCCTGTAGCACTATTGTATTTTGGAAGTAGATAACTTGTATTCTAGGTTTCACAGGTCCATAGCTGGCAAGAATTCTGCCCCAGGATAGACCATACCATCTTCCCCATATCTATCTAGATAATTTAGAAGATGAGATCTGGGACTTAAGAGTTCATGCTGGAATGGGTTAAGACTTTTAGGGATGCAAGATGGGGTGAATGTATGTTGCATGTGGGAAGGACATGAAAGTTATGTTGAAGCCCTAACCCGTGGTACCTGTGAACATGACCTGACTTTTAAATAAGGGTCTTTGAAGATATTATCAGTTAACTGAGGTAACACCAGAGTAGGGTGGGTACTAATCCAATCTGACTGCAGCCTTCATAACTGGAGAACAGATACAGAGAGACACATACGGGGTAGAAGGCCATGTGAAGATGGAAGCCAAGAAATGCCTAGGGCTATCAGAAACTGGAAGAGACAGGGAAGGCTCTCCCTCTAGAGAGGACAGAGAGAGCGTGGCCCTGCCAACGCCCTGAATTTGGACTTCTAGCCTCAAGAAGTGTTGGGACAATAAAGTTCCATTGTTTAAATCCACCCACTTTGGGAAACTAATATAGGAGTCTATGTTGCCAACAGGCTGAAGAACCACACTATACAGTAAGAGCCCTATTTTGAAATAAATGAATAAAGACTAACATTTACTGAGCTCTTACAATGTAAAAGGCACTATGCTAAATGACTGAACAAAGATTAACTGAGGAAGGTACCATTATTGTTTTCCCAATTTTATAAATCCCTTGCCACATTTTTTTAGGGTGACAGTTAAATTGTAAGCTGTTGAAAGCCCATATCCTATGTTTCAATTCTATTTCTAGGAATTTATTATAAGGAAATAGTCAAGTAAGTTCAGGACAAATTTAGCTACAAGACTGTTCATTTACCATACTGTTGTTCAACATACCAAAAAACAACAACAACAACAAAAAGACATATATATACATATACCAAAAACCCACTGCTGTCAAGTCGATTCCAACTCATAGCGACACTATAGGACAGAGCAGAAATCCCCCTTAAGGTTTCCAAGGCTGTAATCTTTACGGAAGGAGACCGCCACATATTTCTCCCGCGGAGCAGGTGGTAGGTTTAAACCGCTGACCTTTTGCTTAGCAACTGAGCACTCTGCCGGGGAAAGATGTGACAACAGTAGTTACAAAGACAGGCACAAGCTAAATTCAGCTTTGCCATTTACTGTACGAATTGGCACAATTTAGCTGATCACTCAACTGTTTTGAGTGTTTTCTCACCTTTAGAACTGGCAAAATTAGAACTTCACAGGGTGGTTGTTGTAAGAGATCATATGTGAAAGCACTAGCACATGCTTGATAATGACTTTTGCTTCACTTCATTAAAACCACGTTCTTGTAATTGGTGTATCTCCCAAGACTTCTGAATTGAGATCGTCTCTGAAGAAATAATATTCAAGCTGACACCTAAAGGGTGAGTATTAACAATGCAAAAAGATAGATGAGGATGGAGGCGAAGAGCCTATTCTAACTAGGCGCACAGATTGAAGCCAGCTCTGGGAGACATATAAGAGACTACCCGTTACTGAAGCTGGTTCTATTTGATGGTGGCGCGGATGAAGACGGCAAGAGCGGAGATAGTGACAATAAGCAGACGTTTGGAAGTAGAATCCATAGGACTTGCTTACTGACCGTGTGTTGGGGAGCTGAGGAGAGGGAGGTGTCAAGGATGATGCTAGGTTACTGGCATGTACAACAGGGCGGGATGCGGGGATGTGAAAATGAGCCAGTTTTGTATTTGCTGATTTGGAAATACCAGGAGCCCTGGTGGCGCAGTGGTTAACAGCTTGGCTACTAACCAATGGTCGGCAGTTCCAATCTACCAGCCGCTCCTTGGAAACCTTATGGGGCAGTTCTACTTTGTCCTGTAGGGTCGCTATGAGTCGGAATTGACTCGACGGCAACGGGTTTGGTTTTTGTTTATGAACTAACCAAGGGGAGGTACACTAGTAAATACATGGATCTGGAGCTCAGAAGGAAGATCTGAGACGGGGACATAAATTCAGAAGAAAGCATGAGGTGTAAATAAAGTACACTGAAGAATACTAATATCTACGACGCGGTTGGAAGACGTGGCTGAGCATCAGACAGGAGGGAAACCAGGAAAGTGTGATATTACAGAAAGCAGACGAATCGAATAGTTGAAGAAAGTTCTTCATATCTTTCCCAGGTCTACTCCTCCAAAACCTTAAAAAACACCAAATAACCCCTCGTTCTCAACATGCATTCACGCGGCGGCGGGGTCGGGGGCGCGGGTCCAAAGGCAGCCGAGGCGCGGGGCGGGGGCTGTCAGGCGACGTCCCCCAGCTCCGGGCTCCGATGATCCGGGTCCAACTCTGGGTTCCGCCGCGCGCCCGAGGCCGCTCCGGCAGGACACGGACGCCTTAACCACGGAACGCGCAGCAGCCACCTACGGGCCCCGGCAGGGCAAGCTCCTGTCAGGGGCTGCGGAGCTGACTTGACGCGGCCGCCGACGCTGGAGGGGAAGGACGAGGGTCCGCGACCAGCTAAGGTACTCACCACGTCAGCCGACAGCGGCCGGAAAGAGCGTCTTCGCGGCCCGGGGGCGGGGCCGGGGGCGGGGCCGAGAGGGCCGCCTACAACTCCCGACATGCCCAGCCGTCGCGTCGTGGAGCGTACCATTCTCCGTCTCTTTGCCATAGACAGAGGGCCGGGAGCAGCAGACTAGTTTTCGATATAGTCTATTGGCTGAGTCATTCCTGCCTTACAGACGCTGAAGACGCCTTCTGTGTGCTCCTCGATCTTGACTTGAACTCTTCACTTGTCCGCCTGCAGCGTGCTCGGAATGGATTCTCCCACATCCCGGGCAACGCGCCTCCACAAACGCGCGCTGTGCCCAGAACGTGCGGAAGGCCTTCGGGCGTGGGCTTGGCAGGGCGCGAAGCGCGAGCGCGACCTGCAGGCTGAGTTGATCCGAACAGGAGCTGGGGCGGTCTGATCTCGGTTGTCGGACCGGGTGCCCTTCAGAGAGGTGAATTGGTCCTCGTGGCCTCTAGGTGTTAAATACGTGCGACTCTGAGCCCCCGTTTCCTTAACGGGAAATAATTTTCCTCATCACCTCAGCCAGAAGTGGTCTGCCCGTCCTTGGCCTCTCACAGCACTTTATCCTTACCTTTCGAAGAAGACTTACCGGCTTCTGCTTAACAGGTTAATTTATTTTCTTGTCGCTAAGACTCAGAATCGACTGGACGACACCTAACAGCTAGGTTGTGAGTTCTTTTGGGGCAGGATCTCTGCCCTTAAAAATCTGTTTTCCCAGCTTCTACCAGCGGGCCTTACTCTTCGGAGAGGGTTGCAAATTATCTGTTAGATGAGTGACTGATTTTGTAAATGTTCAAGAAGAGTTAATGGAAAGATTGAAGGCAAGAACTTCTTTTCTCTCTCTGTGGCTCACTTAATTGTGTGCCAGCTGCTGCCCAGACACTGGGGATACCGTGGTAAAAAAGAACCAGACTTAGACACCGCGGTTCCTGCCTTCATGGAGCCGACCGTTTAATGCGGGAAAGCAAATGTTACGCAAAGGGTTCCTACACGATGAATGTAAAATGATAATCCACTGGAAAACTGATGAAGGCTTGGAAGGAGAAGTATATGCCATTATGATAAACCAAAAACCAAAAAAAACAGCAAAGCTCATTGACATCAAGTAGATTCTGTGACCCTATAGGACAGGGCAGAACTGTAACCTTTACAGAAGCAGACAGACTGCCACATCTTTCTCTCTGGGAGCAGCTGGTGGATTTAAACCACCGGCCTTTGGGTGAGCAGCCAGGCTCTTAACCACTGCACTACCAGGGCTCCTTGCTGTTATGATGAGAAGTGATGAATGTGTTGAACTTCTAACGGAGACGTGTTCATTGCGGGGAGGGAAGGGGTGGGTACCTTGGGTTCCTGACTAAAGTGAAACACGTGCAATGGCCCTGTGGCTGGAGAGAGCCTGACCTAAGAACTGAAAGAAGATAGGTGCAGTCAGGGTGCCAGGGAGGGGATGCACATGGTGTCATATGAGCCCGGGGAATAGCTGACCTTGCGAGCCTTTTATAGGATGTTAGCCTCCATGAACACAGAAAGCCTTTGTTGTTCGGCAGTGGGGATGGGATTTTGAAATATGAAATATTGAGGTACTGCATCCCAAAAAGGAGCCGTGGTGGCTCAGTGGTTAAGTGTTAGCACTGGGCTGCTAACCGAAAGGTTCCAACCTACCAGCCACTCTGTGGGAGAAAAGACTTGGGAATCTGCCCCCATAAAGATTACAGCCTCAGAAACCCTATCAAAAAAAAAAAAGAAAACCAAACCTGTTGTCATTGAGTAGCGACCCTATAAGACAGAGTAGAACTGCCCTATAGAGTTTCCAGGGAGGGGCTGGTGAATTTAAACTGTCAACCTTTTGGATAACAGCCCAGCTCTTAACCACTGCGCCACCAGGGCTCCAAGAAACCCTATAGGGCAGCTCTACTGTGTCCTATACGGTCACTATGAGTTCAGCAAACAACAGCAACATCCCAATACAAAAAACATTTCAGTCTGGAAAGTCAGTCTTCAGTGACTAACATTTACCTTTAAAGCATACCTGGTCAGAGGAAGATGGGATGGGGAAAAGTGTTCCTTTTTTCTTATGTTTTCTATTAAATTGAATCTTTACTTGCTCCGTTGATGTTACGCATTAGCAGTGATTCATGCTCGAATAAGCCACAGCTCCAAATAGGAAAGCATGCTTGCTCTAAATTAAGGACAAAAGGTTTTTACAAGCTATTGGATTATAAATTTGGAGGCATAGGTCAATGTCTGCCTTATTCACTAATGAACGCCCAGTGCCTAGCTCGTAACCCGTTGCTGTTGGGTCAATTCTGACTCATAGAGACCCTACAGGACAAAGCCCCATTGGGTTTCCAGGGAGCGGCTGGTGGATTCCAACTGCCGACCTTTTCATTAGCAGCTGAGCTCTTAACCTCTACTACCAGGGCTCATGGCTGATGCCTATGAATATTTGAATGAGAATGAAGGATGTAATTATTCTTAGCCCTTGGCCTTTGCTTTTAGAATACATCTAATTAGAAATTTTTTTTTCTAAATAAATGGTTGCATGTTAATGTGATATTTTACCTTTGTTTGAAGTAGTTCCTTTCAAAAGAAAATACACAGTTGTAGTTTGCCCTTTAACAAATACTCTGAATTCATTGTGGGATTTTTGGTTTGTTGTTGTTCTTGCTGTTATCTTGTCTAAACAATTGTCCTCTTCCTCTGTCCCTTTAATGAACTAATTTTGCCAGTGGCACACTTCTTACATTTATTTAAACTTGGAAAAACTTAAGAACTGAAAGGCAATACCTATATATGTTGTATATTCTGAAAAGCTAATTTTGAATTAAATGATTTTCAATAGGAGGGACAATGTAGTGACCTTCATATTTTTAAATCATTTTATGTAAACTAGAAAAATGTCTGATTTATGTAATCTGGATTTTGAAATCTACCTCGACCTTCTCAAAAGAAAGATGTTTATACGGTATTTATACCATAGTATTTATCATTTCCAACAGATGAATGGCGTTGTAATTTGTGGGCACTTTATATGGAGAGTCAAGGGGAGGTTCATGGTTATAATTCTGAATCCCATTATTCTTCTCCCGCCGCACAGAGTAGATTGTTTTCCCCGTATAGTTTGGGGCCGTTGTTTTATAGTGACTGTGAAAACTCGCAGACTGAAAGTAATTTTGATTGAAATTTACTAATCACTTTTTTCCTAAAACTTTTTCCTCTGTATTTTTCAATGTAAAGATTTTGCCATAAAAGTGGCAGCTGTAAGGAGCCTTCTGGAGTTACCAATATAGAGAACACCACCACAAGAAGCAAGAATGCCTGCTGAAGGAGGGAAGTCTGATATGGATAGGATTGGCCTCTTCAGTGAGATGGAATATATCACCATTGGTGATAAATATGTGTCACCATTTAATCGTAAGTATATTTGGTCTCCTTTACAGCCTAATGGATGGATATTTTCTATATGAAATTTTGGATTTAATATTTAAGTTAAATGATATTTTTTTAATGGTCTGTGTTTTAAAGCATTAGTCCTAAAGTTGATTAGAGTTGTGAAATTTTGATAGATTAGAGTTAAGAGAAAACTTGATTTTATAAGAGCAGGAAGCTCATTTTATTGAGCTGTTCTTCTGCATTGTCCTCGTAGGTAGTTTTACTTCTTTCCAAAGGTGCATGGCAATTTTCTCCCAGAATGTTTTGATTTTAGCTTTTTCTCTTAGATGGGACATTCCACTATGCCAACAGCATTTACATTTGCGTTCAAGGAGGCCATCCATGATTGCTTTCCTGGAAAATGAGATGTTAAATAAGTAGCAGAGGGATTTTTTTAGAAAAGTCATAAATAATAAAAAACAGCTGAAGTAAATAAACATTTTAAATGTCTCAGAATTTTGACTCTCCAATGACTACCATGTAACAATAAAAAAAGAATACACTGATATGGAAACATCTCCAAGATATACTGTTACATAAAAAACCAGGTGCACAATAGTCTCTATACTATGCTGTCATTAAAAACGAAAAAGGATATATAGGAAAAAATTTGCTTCAACATGCCTGAGTATTCTCTGGAACACAAAATTAATATCATTGGTTACCTGTGGAAGAGGGACTGAGTGGCCGAGTGTGGCAGGAAGATTTATTGTGAAAATGTTTATATTATTGAATCTTGAACCAAGTGAATGTATTACCTTTTCAAAAATTTAACTTAAAAAAAAAAAATCAGTGTTAGAAATTCATGTTTAAATAACCAGTTGATTAAGGGCTGTCTACACTTCAAATAATTTTTCACATTATTGAAGGACTTCCCAAATAGAGCTCTCCTAGATTCAAATTATAAAAAGAAATTTTAAATATTTGTGAAAACAGCCTTAAGTTAATGAGCTACTGGTATTTCATTGTGTATATATACCACTCTTTATCTGTTCTCACGTTGATGAACGTTTGGGTGGTTTCTTGTTTGTCACTATTATGAATGAAGCTGCTATGAGCGTTTTTGTTCATGTCTTTTAGTGGACATATGCACTCATTTGTCTTGAGTATATGACTAAAAGGGGACTTCTTCAGTTTGAGTATAGAACACCTTTTCCTCAACGTGCATGGACACACACACGCATCCCTAATGACATCTCACACGATGTTTCTTAGTATATAGATGAGGAAGCATTGGATTAGATGACCTTTAAGGTGTCTTCTAGCCCTAGAACTTAGTGTGTAATCAGGACCTTAACATAAATGTTAAAATTTTTTTTTAAATTTATTTTGTTGTTGTTGATAAGAATGTACACAGCAAAACATACATAAATTCGATAGTTTCTACATGTACAATTTAGTGACATTGATTACATTCTTTGAGTTATACAACCATTCTCACCCTCCTTTTCTAAGTTGTTCCTCCTTCATTAATACAAACTCACTGTCGCCTAAGATTCCCATCCAGTCTTTCAAGTTGCTGTTGTCAATTTGATCCCATATAGATAGTTCTTAAAAGAGCATAATGCTTAAGGCAGACTTTTATTTTTACTAGTTAAGCTAAACTATAGTTTAGTTTTTTTTAAGTTTTATTTTATTGTTCTTTAGGTGAAAGTTTATAGCACAAATCAGTTTCTCATTAAAAAATTTGTACACAAATTGTTTTGTGACATTGGTTGCAATTCTTGCAATGTGTCGGCACTCTCCCCCTTTCCCTTTACACCGTGAGTTCCCCGTGTCCATTCGTTCAGTTTTCCTATCCCTTCCTGCCTTCTTGTCTTTGCTTTTGGGTAGGTGTGGCCCATTTGGTCTCACATACTTGACTGAACTAAGAAGCACGTTCCTCATGTGTGTTATTGTTTGTTTTATAGGCCTGTCTAATCTTTGACTGAAAGGTGGACTTCAGGAGTGGCTTCAGTTCTGCATTAGCAGGGTGTTCAGGGACCTTAGTCTTGGGGGTTCCTCCAGTCTCTGTCAGACCAGTAAGTCTGGTCTTTTTTTGTGAATTTGAATTTTGTTCTACGTTTTTCTCCTGCTCTGTCTGGTACCCTCTATTGTGATCCCTGTCAGAGCGGTCGGTGTGGTAGCCAGGCACCATCTAGTTCTTCTGAGATCAGGCTGTTGGAGGCTGTGGTACATGTGGTCCATTGGTCCTTTGGACTAATATTTTCTTGTGTCTTTGGTTTTCTTCATTCTCCTTTGTTCTGGATGGAATGGGATCAATAGATGTATCTTAGCTGGCCCCTTGCAAGCTTTTAAGACCCCAGCTGCTACTCATCAAAGTAGCATGTAGAACATTTTCTTTATGGACTGTGTTATGCCAGTTGACCTAGATGTCCCATGAGACCGTGGTCCCCAGCCCGTAGCCCGGTAACTGGGCCCCTCAAGGTGTTTGGATGTGACTAGGAAGTTTCTATGACTTTGCTTGGTCAAGTTGTGCTGACTTCCCCTATATTGTGTGTTGTCTTTCCCTTCACCAAAGTTAACACTTGTCTACTATCTAGTTAGTGATTTCCCCTCCTGACCCCTCCCCTCCCTTGTAACCATCAAAGATTGTTCTTTTCTGTGTGTGAACCTTTTCTTGGGTTTTTATAATAGGGGTCTCATACAATATTTGTCCTTTTATGATTGACTTATTTCACTCAACATAATGCCCCCCAGATTCATTTATGTTGTGAGATATTTTACAGATTCATCATTGTTCTTTATTGTAGCTTAGTATTTCATTGTGTGTATGTACCACAATTTGTTTATCCATTCATCTGTTGTTGGGCACTTAGGTTGTTTCCATCTTTTTGCTATTGTAAATAATGCTGCAATGAACATGGGTGTCTATTTGTGTGACAGCTCTTATTTCTCCAGGATATATTCCTAGGAGTAGGATTGCTGGATCCTGTGGTATTTCTATGTATAACTTTTTAAGAAGGTGCCATATTGTTTTCCATAGTGGTTGTACCATTTTACATTCGCACCAACAGTGCGTAAGAGTTCCAATCTCCCCACAACCTCTCCAACATTTGTTTTTTTCTTTTTTTTTTTGATTAGTGCCAGTAATGTTGGGGTGAGTATCTTATTGTAGTTTTGATTTGCATTTCTCTAATGGCTAATGATCACAGGCATTTTCTCATGTGTCTGTTAGCTGCCTGGTGAAGTGTCTTTTCATATCCTTTGCCCATTTTTCAATTGGATTGTTTGTCTTTTTGTTGTTGAGGTATTGAAGTATTCTATAGATTTTAGAAATTAGACCCTTGTCAGATATGTTTGTAGCCAAAATTTTTTTCCCAGTCTGTAGGTTCTCTTTTTACTCTTTTGGTGAAGTCTTTCGATGAGTGTTTAATTTTTAGGCACTCCCAGTTATCTAGTTTTTCTTCTGGTGTTTGTGCATTGTTAGTTATGGTTTATACTGTATTCATGCCATGTGTTAGGGTCCCTAGCATTGTCCCTATTTGCTCTTCCATGATCTTTATCATTTTAGGTTTTATATTTAGGTCTGTGATCCATTTTGAATTAGTTTTTGTGTATGGTGTGAGGTATGGGTCCTGTTTCTTTTTCTATTTTTTTTTACAGATGGACATCCAGTTTTGCCAGCACCATTTGTTAAAAAGACTATCTTTTCCCCATTTAAATGGACTTTGGTCCTTTGTCAAAGGTCAGCTGACCATAGGTGGATGAATTTACATCTAGGTTATCAATTCTGTTCCATTGGTCTATATGTCTGTTGTTGTACCAGTACCAGGCTGTTTTGACTACCATGGCTGTATAGTGGGTTCTGAGATCAGGTAGTGTGAGGCCTCCCACTTTGTTCTTTTTCTTCAATAACGCTTTGCTTATCCAGGGCCTCTTTTGTTTCCATGTAAAGCTGGTGATTAGTGTTTCCATTTTGTTAAAGATGCTGTTGGTATTTGGGATTGGGATCACATTATATCTGTAGATCGCTTTGGGTAGAATTGACATTTTCAAAATGTTGAGTCTTCTTATCCATGAGCATGGTATGTTTTTTCATTTACGCAGGTCTCTTATGGTTTCAGAAACCCTGGTGGCGTAGTGGTTAAGAGCTACAGCTGCTAACCAAAAGGTCACCAGTTCGAATCCACCAGGCGCTCCTTGGAAAGCCTATGGGTCAGTTCTACTCTGTCCCGTAGGGTCACTATGAGTTGGAATCGACTCGATGGCAATGGGTTTTGTTTTTTTTTTCTTATGATTTCTTGCAATAGTGTTTTTACGTCCCTGGTTAGATTTATTTCTAAGTATTTTATCTTTTTAGGGACTGTTATAAATTGTATTGTTTTCCTAATTTCCTTTTCCAAGTTCTCTTTGTTGGTTTATAGGAATTCAGCTGATTTTTGTGTGTTAATCTTGTATCCTGTTACTCAGCTGAATCTTTCTTTTAGTTCCAGTAGTTTTCTTCTGGAATCTTTGGGGTTCTCTATATGTAGGATCATATCATCTGTGAGTAGGGATAGTGTTACTTCTTCCTTTCCACTTTGGATGCCCTTTATTTATTTTTCTTGCCTTATTGCTCTAGCGAGGACTTCCAGCACAATGTTAAATAGGAGTGGTGATAAACAACATCTTTGTAAAATGTTTTAATGAAAACCTCTCTGGTCTTATTGTCAATATATTCTAATACTGAGCTTTAAATGAACATTTTGAAACGGTATTTTATTGCTGAAAACTAATAATTGGTCTAATTCACATTTTGAAACTTTAAGTTATTTTTCATGTCCTTTAGTTACTAGTAAGCTTAAAATTGTGATGTTTCTAATTTATTTTTAAAGGACCCTTTAATGAGGCTGCAAGCAAAAATAGACAGATGCTACCTGGGGGATCCAAAGAAATGTCACATCTCCAGCAGGGTTATTTTGATCCCCATTTTGTAAGGATTTTTGAAGGTGAAGGCTATATAAATCTGAATCAAGTGAGGCGTCGGCATATGATGGAAGAAGCCAAAAAAAATCTAGGCAAACCCTTCCTCCCTAGTAGTGGAGGGAAAAAGCCGTAAGTGTTGGGGGAAAAGATTTCCTTAAACAGATTTCCTACACCCTTCTCTCCTCTAGCCTAAATTAAATGTTTCTCTATAGGGCTTACTTATGTAAGATTCATTTTTAAGTATGATTCTTAGAATAATTTGTCTTAAGTGGAGATAGTTATATTGGATGATTTTTACTGAAATAATTTTGGTTAAGTAGATTCTCACTATCACATTAAATTTTAGATTATCTATTTCACTGTTCTTTATTAGTTTATATGCTGCTTCCATGGTTGTTGATTGTGGATCCAAGTGAAATGAAATCCTTGGTAACTTCTGTCTTTTCTCCATTTATCATGATGTTGCTTATTGGTCCAGTTGTGACGATTTCTGTTTTCTTTTTGTTGAGGTGTAATCCATACGAAGTCTGTAGGTTTATTGTTACAGTTAACGGAATTAATGGAAACTATTCTAACTTCCTAAGAAATCATAAAATTTTATTTATATAGAACATCTAATAAGCATGAAAAATGAAAACCTATTATCTCATTTCAAAATTTGTGACTTCAAAAAGTGGAGAAAATAAAAATTAGATTAAAAACTAACAAAATTGTTTTGTCTTTACCAAAGTCAGGCAAGTTCATTTCATTGCATGTATTCTTCTTTTTCTTTTTTTTTTAAATTATTAAAAACAACAACAACAACAAACTATTTAAGGTGTGGATTTGGAAGCTACTATGGAACAATAGGTGGCCCAGTGCCGTTCTTCAGTGTGCAGTTAAAACCCCGAGAGAAATATCAGGCACCTGGAAAGAATTTATACACAAACCCAGGAAAGAAGGGAACTGGATATGGGTAAGATAGTCTCATACTTTCATATCATTTACTTTGAACTTAAAAAATAAAGTTCAAAATTCCTGAACCCTGAAGTCACAATTACTGATTTTCCTTCCTTAGCTATGCAAATCTTACCATAGGTAAACAGCCTTCACACTCTGCTGATTTCTACGATGAACCAAAACTAACTAATAAGGTAAAATATACTATTTTGAATTTTTTCCACCAGTTTTATTTGACTCTCTTAGAGAATTCCTTTGTAACGTAATTGTATTTTCTTTTGTTCTATATATTTGTAATACTCGGGCAATGGCAGACTAATGTTTATGGATTGTGATAATAACCTTTTTGATGTTAGATTTCCACCTCTTGCTGTAGATCGTCTCGGCCTTTCTGGGGACGAGCTTTTAACTCCTGCTGTAATTTGCCACATCTTCTTTGTTGTGTGTGCTTGAGTTGATTCTGACTCATAGCAGTCCTATAGGGCAGAGCAGAACTGCCCATAGGGTTTCTTAGGCTGTAATCTTCACAGGAGCAGATCGCCAGGTCTTTTCTACAGTGGAGCAGCGAGTGAGTTCAGACCACCAACCTCTGGGTCAGCAACTCAGCGCTTAACCACTGCACCACAGGGCTCCTTCTTGAACTTTAGGTATCTAATGATATTGTAATGTAAAAAGTATTATAGTGTAGAAATTAAATATTCCTTATTCTTAGAAGTAAAACCTGACATTTATTGAGGACATATCATATGCCTTAAATATATAATCTCATTTAATCTTCACAGCAGCACTGGGGGGGAGATAGTATCATCCTCATTACAGTGAAGAAAATACAGCACTAGAAGAGTCAGTGGCTTTCCCAGAGTCCTGAGAAAGGCAGAAAAACAGGAAGGAACTAGAATTTGAACTACAAACCAGTCTTTTTTCTACTAGATCATATTGCCCAGATGTATTATTATAGATTTTTTGAGATGATAAGTAGGTCTCTACAGGGATGCTATTAGTTGGCATCAACTCGATAGCAATGGGTTTGTTTGTTTTTTACTTCAAATTATGTCCTAGATGAATAATCATAGTTGTGCTCATTTATGATAAGTAGGCATATATTTTCTGTCCTGTAAACAGAATTTAACAAAGGAATGTTAAAAAAAAAGTGAGCCCAGCTGTATATATAGATATATAATATATATATATACACTATATGTATAGTATATATAGATGCTTACATTAAAATTAAAAGATTAGGTCTAAGTTACTTTTTTCCAATTTGAGTAATTTATGCTATATAATTTCAAACTCTTTCATTTACAGAAAGACAATGAAGCACATCGTCATTTACTTAAAGGGTCACCTTTCAAGTTAAGTTCTTACCCAAAGGAGTATTTTGACAACAATCCTTACTTTTTTGATAAACCTTTACCACCAATTAAAAAAGCAGAGAAGCCAGGCTCACTTGCAACTCCTTTTAAGCCCTCTTCTCCTGGTAAAAAGGTAAGTTAAAATTTTTAGAATGAAAAATATTAAGCATTTTAATGAATACTGACACCTGCTGTCACATTATTTTATTATCCATGTAAATAATAAAACTTTGTACGGATGCTAAGACATGAAATCCTTTTTTTACAAAATAATGCAAAGTCACCAAGCATGGTTATGAAGCTCTTGCAATGAATTAATTATTCATCACTTCAAATGTACTTGAATTTACAATGAGTTCTTGAAGTGTCTGTCTAAATCCTAGGCCTAGTTTTTCCGATAACCATAAAAAGTCAGACACCTTTTAGTTTTTGAAATGGTTGTTAAAATTCAGTATCTCCTTCTGCAGAAGTTTACATGTGTGAATAAAAATAGAAGTGCTTCTGACTATTTATAAACCTTAGTTTATACTCCCCCCGTCCCTGTGAATTGCCTATTCTTTTTCTTTTTGAAGATTTTATTGTGGTTTAGGTCAAAGTTTACAGAGCAAATTAGTTTCCCAATCAACAGTTTATATACAGCTTGTTTCAGGATATTGAATGCAAACCCCTGACTGTGTCTGCACTGCCCTCCTTCCTCCCTGGGTTCATTGTGTCCATTCACTCAGCTTTCCTGCCCCTACCTTCCTTCTGAACTTTGCTTTTGGGCACATGCTGCCCTTTAGGTCTCATATAGTAGATTGTTCTGAGGTGTACATTCCTCACTGGTGTTATTGTTCATTTTATAGGCCTATCTATTGTATAGCTATAATGTGATCTCCAGGAGTGATTTCAGTTCCAAGTTTGAAGGATGTCTAACAGCCATAGTTTTGGGGGTTCCACCAGTCTCTATCAGACCAGTAAGCCTGTTCTTACTTACGCCTTTGAATTTTGTTCTATATTTCTCTCCCACTCTGTCCATGACCTACTATTGTGGTCCTGATCAGAGGGGTTGGTAGTGGTAGCTGGGCATTATCTAGTTATTCTGGTCTCAGGCTAGTGGAGGCTGTGGTTCATGTGGTCTGTTAGTCCTTTGGACTAATTGTTTCCTTGAGTCTTTGATTTTCTTCACTCTTCTTTGCTCTGGATGGGAAGAGACCAATTGTTGTATCTTAGATGGCTGCTCGCTAGCTTTTAAGACCCCATTTGCTGCTCACCAAGGTAGGATGTAGAACATTGTCTATATGGGTTATGATATGCCAGTTGACCTAGATGTCCTTGAGACTATGATCCCTACCCTCCAGCTCAGTATCTCAGTCCCAGGAGGTATATGGTTATGGCTGAGAAGTGTTCATGACTGTGGCCGTTGTGTGCACTATTTTATATGTATTCGCAGCATTGTTGTTAGGTTGTTGTTAGGTGCCGTGGGGTCGGTTCCAACTCATTACGACCCCACGTACAACAGAACAAAACACTGCCCGGTCCTGCACCATCCTCATAATCCTTCTTACGCTTGAGCCTGTTGTTGCAGCCATTGTGTCAGTCCATCTCGTTGAGGGTCTTCCTCTTTTTTGCTGACTCTCTACTTTACCAAGCA